TTATATAACATATCACACCATAGGAACGAGTAGGACTTACAACAGTACGCCTACTCGACCTAACTACATCAATAACAACAAAGACTAATCCAAAGCTTCAAGGAGACCTGCTTCACCTGTTCTCTTGTGATCAAAAATAACAGTCTTGGTATAGACCTAATCACTCTTCCCCAAATTACACCCATGCTGTTGGATGAGGACCTCGCTGACAATTCAATATTTATCTTCTGCTGATTCGACTGTTGCACAAACCTCCTTAATTCAGAATCCGCTCCCATGAAGCTCGACGCACTATCACTGTAAATCTCCGGAGGTTTCCTTCTTTTTCCAATAAAACGTAATAAGGCCATTATAAATGAATCAGTAATCAAACTATACATCAGTTCAATATGTACTGCCCATGTTTGCAAACAAGTAAACACATATCTATATCCTTTTTCTAATGACCTTCCTATGTGTCCTGGTTCTTTATGACAATGTCTAATTATCGTTTCCGTCACTAAGTGTCGACTGGGTAAAATTACTGGATGTTCAAAAGCATTTAATAATTCTGAGTAGCTTAGACGACCTGTAACACAGAGTAACCCATCAAGCATTATCGGTGATAAGCCCTTCAGATCATTGTGACTAACTACTTTACCATTGTTTTTAAATCCACTAAGTATTTCTCCATACACTTCTTTCTGAACCATCAACAAAATTTTACGCTTGGCGATGTCAAGTTCTTTGACCTTTAAACATCCTAGATGAACTGATCCTTCATGACTCGGTGAACGAAGCCCCATCAGAAATTCTATGAACCTTCTAAGCCAGGCTACGGCCCTGACTAATTTCAACCACTCGGAGTAATAAGAGAGAATAGGTGACATGTTGTGCTTTATACTACTCAAGTTAACCACAGCAGTTTTTCTAAACTCAATATCGTCAGGAGTAGGTTCCGGACAGTCAGTGATTGTTGTACAGAATTCGCCATGCAGTAAGGTAGGACATTTGAACCAAGATTCCAGATCAGTCATTTTTTGTATACCTCTTGATGTCCAATCAGCTGGATTCTGTGACGACTTTACATAATTCCATTGTTCAACCTTCGTATACTGGTGCACCACAGCGAGGCGGTTGGCTATATAGGTGCTATATCGGTTCTCAATATTCTTAATGTAGTATAACACTATCATGGAATCTGTATGGAAGTTTACTTCACAGAAAAAATTAGGCAGACTTCTCCGTAATACTTCACTAAGCCTCACACTTAACACCGCTGCCGCCATCTCAAGTCTCGGTATAGTGACTTGTCTGATAGGTGCTACCCTAGACTTGCTGTACAACAAGATACAATATGGTGGCTCCTTCAAATAGCTGACTCGTGTGTACGCAACTGCTCCATAACCAACCTCTGAAGCATCACTGAACAAGTGCAATTTCACTTTTGCGTCGGGTTCGTCGATTCTCCTCTTGATACCTCGAGCTACCGTGACGTGACCTATCTGACGCATAAAACTTACCCAGCCTAGCCACGCGGACACGTATGGCTCGTTGAGAGGCTGATCCCAGCCTATTTGGGACCTACATAATTTTTGCAAGAGAAGTTTGGCAGTAAGGCAGACTGGAGCAATTAGACCCAGAGGATCGAACAGAGAAGAAACTATAGATAGGATACCTCTCCTAGTCAGAGGCCTTTCCGGTGCATCAAAGTAAAACTTAAATACATCTTGTTTAAAATCCCATTCTACACCTAGGGTTCGATGAGTAGTGTCGTAATCCGTTGACATTTCTATCAAGGACTGTTCTTTACATACATCAGGCAAGATGGTCCTTACCTCCTCCGAGTTGGTAACCCATTTCTTTAGTTTGAAACCTCCTCTACATAATAATTCACTTATCTGCTTAACGAAACTCTTTGCTTGATCACAAGTGGGAAAAGATACCAAGCAATCATCAACATAGAAATTATTCTTAACAGCTTCTACAACATAACCATCATAACCGTCAGAGAATATTTGGGCCGTCTTATTCAAGGCAAAGTTTGCTGGCTTTTTCGGATTTAAAACTGCATGGTGAGGTAAGTACCACCGGGGGTGATAACTAGGTTGCAATTGTATTTCAGGGATCTTTTCCGCATAGCCCTTAATAAAATTACTTTCAATACCTTTTGTATACTTGATATACAGAATGTCATCTTTCAACAATCTACGCTTCAAGCTCTGTAGTCTATTGTTTGCCACTTCATAATTCCTCCCTTTCATATTTGAGTTCACTTTCCATGGTACAGGAACTGCAAAATGACCATTTTTGAAGCGTGTGTCCCCTTCCACAATCCTTATAGCCGCCTTATCTTCTATTGATACTGATTTATCCTTTCAATTAACATCAGGAAACTCTACATCATAAAGTTTACGTATTTCGTTCTCCAAAGTCTGTATCTTACTAGTATGATTGACAACTCTTTTCCTATATTCCGGATATGACGCAGGTCCGAAGACCGTCCACCCCAGCAACGTCTTCACAGCGTACGGGTTTTTTCTTCCACCTAACCGCTGATCTAACACCCAGTGTGCTTCTGGTACGTCGCAACCATTCAACAGCAGAACTTCTTCAGAGTCTAAGTTATCTATTGGTACATCCCTTAAATGTGGCCACTTAACTAGGTTGTTCACTGCCGACCTTGTTGGCTTATGACCTGGTATACCTGCCACAGTCAGAGCTCCTTCGATCGTAACATGTCCTGACCGATCTAGAGAATATACCTCAAAAGGGGTCTTTGTGACCGTCATTGTCGTATTACCACCCACAGTCTCTACTATCACTGACGCTCGGTCTTCCTTCAGCCCGAGATACCTCAAACAGCTCGATTTTATCAACGTTACATCAGACCCGTTATCCAACAAAGCATAACCAACCATTTCGGCATTTCCCAACATCAACTGTACAGGAATCATTCCTAGGCACACTTGGCTACTTAGGGATTTAGTAAATCCACAACAATTCGGGATATCAGGTTTATCATTTTCGCTGTGCAGCAAGGAATGGTGTTTCTTCTCACAACCATTAACGTTACAACGTTTTGCCAGCTTACATTCATTAACTTTATGCCCTTGCCTAAGGCAGACAAAACAGATGCCATTAACTTTTGCTTGAGACCATCTCTCTTGAACGGTAAGCGCTAAAAATTTTGGACATTTATAAATAGCATGGTCCTGGGAACACACCCTGCATTTAGCTCTCGAGTTACTCTCCTGCTCTAATTGCAAGTGACAATTTGTCTTTAAGTTGTGTCCCTTTCTCGGACGATTCGCTAACCGTCCAAACCTACTATAAGCTACTCTCGCGCGGGATGCTATAAATTGGGTAAGCTCGTCAAAAGTCGGTTCTCTATTATCTTCCGTCAATTGATCCACCCGATCCGCCCACTGGGCTTGCATAACTTGAGGTAATAGTCTTACTGTTCTTTCCAAGGTAACTAAAGAATTTAGATCAGAGGTATAATTCATCTGTTCTAAGACCATAGCACAGTTTTCCATTTTAATGGCCAAGTTTGATAGTTGCTCCCCGTCAGTATAATCAAAATTAACAGCATTAACTAAGTCTTCTAATGTTTCTCGAGCGATTACATGAGACTGTCCGAACAAACGCTTTAGAATTTCCCTTGCTCTCTTATAATCAGAGGATGCTTCCATCATGACACAACCCTCAATAGCTGTCTTCGCCTTGCCCTTACAATAGTGCATGAGATAGAGCAAACGTTGGCTATCATCGGTGACTCTTGATGCTACATACGTCTCAAATTGCCTTATAAACTTCCAGTATCCTCTTGGCTCTCCATCGAAATAACTCAATTCAACCTTTGGTAGTTCTGGGCCAACAACAGGCGCTATAGGCAACATTCTCTTTCCTGGTAATTCAAGCCTTTGTTTCTCCTTTAAACTACGATTTTTTACGTCATCTGTCATCGAATTAAGACTAGAGTCACTACTATGATAATCAACCCTATTCGAGTCTGAACCATGAACACTTAAGGACATCAAAAGGCACTTGCTTGGTAATAGGGGATTCTTCATTAACATCAACGAACTTTGAGCTTGATTTCCTTCGACGATTAGTTGGCATTATGAGGGAAACGACCAATTATTTCCAGAAACGATAACCAAAATCCGCGAACGATTGCCAAATGATTTCGGCCAAGTAATAATTGTTTAGAACTGTAGAATCCAAACTACGGTTTGGATATTGAAGAATAGCCTCCCGTGACTTTAGACACGCGCCCTTCCCCGTCGAAATCAGAACAAGTAATCGGGTAAATAGCGGTTCTATAATTCATCATAAATTCAAATGTATATGGTTACCTAAACAAATATTATCACCCGGCTATTCAACCAATGATTGTTCAATCAATCAAATCTAAATTACAATAAATAAAGAAGTTGATAGAAGATGAGGAAAAATTACCAGTCACGACAAATGAACGTTATTCTATCCTGACTGGATAGATCACACACAACAGGAGGAACAAATCAATATGGCTACCGCCAAGAACAAGTGTCAAGTAAGACAACGCAGATGCAGTTCAGGAAGAAACACAAACTTAGTGAATGCGTAATAAAAACAAAACTATAACAAAAAATACAAATATTAACAATTCAAATGTAATCAAAATACAACAATGTACAACTAATGTGATCAATAGGAATAAAGTACAAGTATATACATGGAGGGATTTTCACCAACACACAACACATTCAAAATGGATCTTACAGTCTTTCCTTACTATATGGGACGGAGGTACAACATAGTAAAAAAAAGAAAATGTACAATGAAAATTTCGGATCCTCATAAACGTCATCGTTCTTTTCCAGCCGTCCTGGAAAAGAAAAAAGAAAATGTAAGTGCATGTCGAAAATACACTCGTATATGCGTAAAAACACAAGGTCGGCGGAAAAAAAATGGAAAATAAACTCATGAGCACGTAATAGCGTTAAAAAATTGTTTTTTTTGTTTTTTTTTTAATAGAAATAAAAATATATAAGCATATTAAAATTGTTTTTTTTTCAAAAAAAAATAATAATATAAAATGTCGAGAAGTGCCTTACGTGCAATAGTCGTTTAAATGTTCTGGAAATCTCACCCTTCTTCCAGAACGCGTCGTTTTAAGTTTATTTTCGGATACTGTCGAAGTATCTTCGTGTGTGTTGGTTGTCGGATGAGGTATTATTAGTGTCTGAGTCGTGTCGTTCGATTGTACCGAAGGAAAATCGACGTGGATAGGATTTCCTTCTAAATACGCTGCTTTTAAGCGATCGATGCTGATGCTATCGTTGGTTCCGTTCTTATCGACTATATAGTACTTAGATTCACGTTGAAGAACTTTGAAGGGTCCTTCGTATGCTGATTCGAATGGTCGTCGATGCGAGTCTCGACGAATGAAAACGTGTGTACTATATCGTAAGTCAGGTTGAACGAAAACATCAGTTGATTGAGGTCGAGTGGAAGCAGGTTTAACTGAACGCATTGCGTTTGTAAGCCTGTTCGTGTAGGAGGTTAGATCCATGTTCATCGAAGAGCACGAAGGATCCACGAATTCTCCTGGAAGTCGAAGTGTCGTTCCATAAACGAGTTGAGCCGCAGTGTATCCAATGTCAGCTTTCACTGCATTGCGGATACCTAGTAAGACGAGTGGAAGAGCGTCGGTCCATTGTGAAACGTTTGCAGCTGATAGCGAAGCTTTCAGTTGTCGGTGAAAACGTTCTACCAACCCGTTTGCTTGGGGATGGTAGGCGGTCGTTCGGAAGCGAGTGATTCCTAAAAGTGTGGTCAGACGACGGAAAAGATCAGATTCAAACTGACGTCCGCGGTCTGTAGTGATGGTTGAAGGGCAACCGAAGTTTGCTACCCATCGTTCGACGAATGTGCGGGCCACTGTTTCAGCAGTGCTGTCCTTGATAGGTACTGCTTCTGGCCATCGAGTGAAACGGTCTACGCAGGTTAAGAGATAAGAGTATCCATTTGAATCTGGTAAAGGTCCTACCAAATCCAGATGAACATGGTCGAAACGAGCATCGGGAGTTTTAAACGAGCCTAAGGGACATTTATTGTGTCTGATAACCTTAGATTTTTGGCAGCTTACACAGGAGCGTGCCCACTCCCTCACGTCTTTATTCATGCCAGGCCAGCAAAATCGTTCTGCTATAAGCTTGATGGTTGCACGAACACCTGGATGAGAAAGTTTGTGCAATGTGTTGAAGACATTGCGTCGATAATGTTTCGGCACGATTGGGCGATCCCTACCTGTAGATGTGTCACAAAGTAAGGTTTCCTTACCTGTTCCCATCTGTTTGATGCGTAGTTTAAGTGTTGTGGACGATAACTCGTGCTGAAGATCACTGTCTTCTTTTTGAAGCTCGGCGAGTTTAAGAAGGTCGATTCCTTGGAAACTGTTCAAGGAAGTTATACGAGATAAAGCGTCTGCAACTACATTGTTTGCTCCAGAGATGTGTTGAATATCTGAAGTAAACTGCGAAATGTAGTCCAGTTGTCGAGACTCACGGGGAGAGTACTTGTCAGAAGGAGAGCTTAACGAGAAAGTGAGCGGTTTATGGTCCGTGAAAAGAGTGAATTCACGGCCTTCGATATAGTGTTGGAAATGCCGTACAGCACAATACATAGCTAGGAGTTCCCTACCGAATGTGCTGTACCTCGATTCGGTGTCTAGCAACCTTCTAGAGAAAAATGCCAAGGGTTGCCAGGAGTTGTTAACCCATTGTTGTAAGACTCCTCCGATTGCTGAGTCGGATGCGTCTACTGCGATGCTAATGGGTGCTCGGGTGTCCTGATGTGCGAGCATTGTTGCTTTAGCGATCAGTTCCTTGACTGTGGAGAATGCTTTTCGTGCGGTGTCGTCCAAATTAATGGATTTCGCATTTCCACGAAGTTGGTCGGTCAGAGGTTTCATAAGTGATGCGCATTGGGTATGAAACGTCTATAGAAACTTACCAGGCCGTTGAACGTGCGTAATTGCTTGACGGTGGTCGGTTCTGGGTAATCCAGAATGGCCGCCACTTTGGTTCTAAGGGGTCGGATACCTTGAGCATCGATAGTGTGTCCCAGAAAGTCTAACGAGTCGGTTCCAAATTGGCATTTCTGAACGTTTACAGTTATGCCATGTTTTTGTAATCGTTCGAAAACAAGGTCCAGATGCTTGAGATGTGTTTCTCTGTCCGGACTTGCGATTAGACAGTCGTCAACATACGCGTGTACGAAGTTGAGACCTCGAAAAACGTCGTCTATGAATCTTTGGAATGTTTGAGCAGCATTCCTTAGACCGAAAGGCATTCGCAAAAATTCATAGAGTCCGAAGGGAGTTATGATAGCCGTTTTCGGTATGTCGTCAGTAGCCATAGGGATTTGGTTATACGCTTTAACCAAGTCGATTTTCGAAAAGACAGTTGTACCTTTCAAGGTAGCTGTCAAATCGTGAATGTGAGGCAACGGGTAACGATCGGGAATGGTTTTCGCGTTCAATCGCCGATAGTCACCAGTTGGACGCCAATCGTTGCTGTCCTTTTTAGGGACCATGTGCAACGGAGATGCATATGGGCTACTTGACGGTCGTATGATTCCTAAGTCCATCATGTGATCGAATTCGTTTTTCGCTAACCTTAGCTTTTCAGGAGCTAGTCGTCGTGCTTTAGAAAATACAGGTGGTCCTGTAGTCGTGATGTGATGTGTAACATTGCTGGTTACACACGGTAGTTTCGTTTGCGTTTGTTGTATCCCAGGGTACTTATCGAGTAGTGGTTGATAGAGTGGGTCTATCATATGTTTAACTGTGACTGGGGATACTCTACAACCAGTAAAAGAAGTTACGCAAACGGACAAATTAGTGTTTCCGTCTACTAGCCTCCGTTTGCGAGTGTCGATGATCAGATTGTGGTGTTGTAGAAGGTCCATACCAATGATTGGCATAGAAACATCTGCAACGACGAAAATCCAGTGGATGGGTTTGCGTAAACCCACGTTAAGGTAAACGTACCTTTTGCCATACGTAGCGATCGGTTTTCCGTTTGCCGCCTGTAAGTTTAGGGTCGATTCGTGAAGTCGGTCGTTAGGATTTGCTGGGAGAACGCTAACTTCTGCGCCAGTGTCGACGAGGTAGCGAACTCTCGTTGTCACATCTGTGACGAATAACAGACGGCTTTGTTCGCCGGCTACGGTTGCCGTTAACGCGTGCCGGCTTGGAAGTTTCCCGAATCAGTCGGTTTCGTGTTGGGAAAATTGCAGGGTTTTCTGCAATTTCTGGAAAACTTTCCATACTGGTTATGATACCAGCACCAGTCGGGGTTATCTGTCTCTCGTGGTCTAGAGACAGATCGCTTACGAGAAATGCTTCTACGTGGTGTGCGCGATCTCTTACGGTCGGTACGAAGACTAAGATAACGCGTGAGTGTGTGACATAAGTCGGTTATGTCATTCTGAGTCGTGTGAGGCTTTTCTTTGACTGAAAATACCTCGGTAGTAGAAGGTTTCGTAATTTCTAGAATGCGGTCGGCAGATACAGCTAGTTCGTCTAAGGCGTTGTTCTGGAACGAGACCAGAACTGCTTGCACCTGTTGGGGAAGTTTTGACAAGAAGAGTTGTTTGAATAGACCTTCGTCGAAAGTTCTTGGGCCTATAACCTCTCTCATCCGTTGCAACATGTCCGTCGCAGAACCGTGTTGCAGGTCGATATTGTTGAAGAGTTGATCTAACCTTTGTCGATCGGTTAGGTCTCCTCGTTTAAGAATCGAGCGTTTTAAGATTTCGTAAGGATCGGAAACATCACTAGTAAACATACTAGGTGTTACGTACCTGTTGAATTCGCGCGGCAGTGCCTTGACTACTGCGAGGAATTGTGCACGTGTGTCGATCACGCCGTGCTCGGAAAAGTCGGCTTCTGCGTAGCAAAACCAGGCTTCGATGTTGTCGGGCCAGAAAGGCATCAGTTGAAACGAAGGTGGGGACAAGGTCTTAAGCTTGAGTACTTTAGGTGTCTGTTCAGTCATGATGAAATATGAAGTACGATAATGAACGAGGGGAAAATATATATATATATCCAAGAAAAACACGAAAAAAAATCACAATGTTTAAAAAAAATAAAAAATAAGGCAATGATATATAAAAATCCCAAAAAGGAACAGACTCACAGTTGCAATAAGGTGTACCAGATCACGACGGTCTCACCAATGATGATGTCACAGGTATTCAGTGTTTGACAACGCTTCTACCAGTAACACCTTCTAATATGTTTCGTTCCCACCAAGAGAAATCAAAAGACAGAGTCGAGGAGATCGGAAGAGTATATTTGGCGATGACCAATATATCGGGATTCTCTGATCTAATCTGGCTAGCGATTGTGGTTGATGTTGAGCACGGCGTTACTACACGTGATCTGGTGCGGATGCCTGACCGAGCGCCTTCAGCTAGATGAGTCCACTAAAACATATGGTCAGCATCCAATGTCGAAAACTTACAGAGCTATTTATTTTAGGGATTTATTTACCGCTACAACACTTAAGGACATCAAAAGGCACTTGCTTGGTAATAGGGGATTCTTCATTAACATCAACGAACTTTGAGCTTGATTTCCTTCGACGATTAGTTGGCATTATGAGGGAAACGACCAATTATTTCCAGAAACGATAACCAAAATCCGCGAACGATTGCCAAATGATTTCGGCCAAGTAATAATTGTTTAGAACTGTAGAATCCAAACTACGGTTTGGATATTGAAGAATAGCCTCCCGTGACTTTAGACACGCGCCCTTCCCCGTCGAAATCAGAACAAGTAATCGGGTAAATAGCGGTTCTATAATTCATCATAAATTCAAATGTATATGGTTACCTAAACAAATATTATCACCCGGCTATTCAACCAATGATTGTTCAATCAATCAAATCTAAATTACAATAAATAAAGAAGTTGATAGAAGATGAGGAAAAATTACCAGTCACGACAAATGAACGTTATTCTATCCTGACTGGATAGATCACACACAACAGGAGGAACAAATCAATATGGCTACCGCCAAGAACAAGTGTCAAGTAAGACAACGCAGATGCAGTTCAGGAAGAAACACAAACTTAGTGAATGCGTAATAAAAACAAAACTATAACAAAAAATACAAATATTAACAATTCAAATGTAATCAAAATACAACAATGTACAACTAATGTGATCAATAGGAATAAAGTACAAGTATATACATGGAGGGATTTTCACCAACACACAACACATTCAAAATGGATCTTACAGTCTTTCCTTACTATATAGGACCGAGGTACAACATAGTAAAAAAAGAAAATGTACAATGAAAATTTCAGTTCCTCATAAACGTCATCGTTCTTTTCCAGCCGGTCTGGAAAAGAAAAAAGAAAATGTAAGTGCATGTCGAAATACACTCGTATGTGCGTAAAAACACAATGTCAGCGAAAAAATTGGAATCTAAACTAATTTACACGTAATATCGCTTAAAAAATTTGTTTTTTTGTTTTTGTTTTTGTTTTGGAATAAAAAATAAAAATATATAAGCATATTAAAATTGTGTTTTTTAAAAATATATATCGTAAAAAGAAACATCGAGATAATATTAAATGTCTAGTAGTGCCTTACGTGAAATAGTCGTTTATATGCTCTGGAAATCTAACTCTTCTTCCAGAACGCGTCGTTTTAAGTTTGTTTTCAGATACATTCGGAGTATCATCGCTAGTGTTGGTTGTCGGTTGAGGAGTGGAGTCGCGTCGTTCGATTGTACCGAAGGAAAATCGATGTAGATAGGATTTCCTTCTAAATACGCTGTTTTGAGGCGATCGATGCTGATGCTATCGTTGGTTCCGTTCTTATCGACTATATAGTACTTAGATTCACGTTGAAGAACTTTGAAGGGTCCTTCGTATGCTGATTCGAATGGTCGTCGATGCGAGTCTCGACGAATGAAAACGTGTGTACTATATCGTAAGTCAGGTTGAACGAAAACATCAGTTGATTGTGGTCGAGTGGGAGCAGGTTTAACTGAACGCATTGCGTTTGTAAGCCTGTTCGTGTAGGAGGTTAGATCCATGTTCATCGAAGAGCACGAAGGATCCACGAATTCTCCTGGAAGTCGAAGTGTCGTTCCATAAACGAGTTGAGCCGCAGTGTATCCAATGTCGGCTTTTACTGCATTGCGGATACCTAGTAAGACGAGTGGAAGAGCGTCGGTCCATTGTGAAACGTTTGCAGCTGATAGTGAAGCTTTCAGTTGTCGGTGAAAACGTTCTACCAACCCGTTTGCTTGGGGATGGTAGGCGGTCGTTCGGAAGCGAGTGATTCCTAAAAGTGTGGTCAGACGACGGAAAAGTTCAGATTCAAACTGACGTCCGCGGTCTGTAGTGATGGTTGAAGGGCAGCCGAAGTTTGCTACCCATCGTTCGACGAATGTGCGGGCCACTGTTTCAGCAGTGCTGTCCTTGATAGGTACTGCTTCTGGCCATCGAGTGAAACGGTCTACGCAGGTTAAGAGATAAGAGTATCCATTTGAATCTGGTAAAGGTCCTACCAAATCCAGATGAACATGTTCGAAACGAGCATCGGGAGTTTTAAACGAGCCTAAGGGACATTTATTGTGTCTGATAACCTTAGATTTTTGGCAGCTTACACAGGAGCGTGCCCACTCCCTCACGTCTTTATTCATGCCAGGCCAGCAAAACCGTTCTGCTATAAGCTTGATGGTTGCACGAACACCTGGATGAGAAAGTTTGTGCAATGTATTGAAGACATTGCGTCGATAATGTTTCGGCACGATTGGGCGATCCCTACCTGTAGATGTGTCACAAAGTAAGGTTTCCTTACCTGTTCCCATCTGTTTGATGCGTAGTTTAAGTGTTGTGGACGATAACTCGTGCTGAAGATCACTGTCTTCTTTTTGAAGCTCGGCGAGTTTAAGAAGGTCGATTCCTTGGAAACTGTTCAAGGAAGTTATGCGAGATAAAGCGTCTGCAACTACATTGTTTGCTCCAGAGATGTGTTGAATATCTGAAGTAAACTGCGAAATGTAGTCCAGTTGTCGAGACTCACGGGGAGAGTACTTGTCAGAAGGAGAGCTTAACGAGAAAGTGAGCGGTTTATGGTCCGTGAAAAGAGTGAATTCACGGCCTTCGATATAGTGTTGGAAATGCCGTACAGCACAATACATAGCTAGGAGTTCCCTACCGAATGTGCTGTACCTTGATTCGGTGTCTAGTAACCTTCTAGAGAAAAATGCCAAGGGTTGCCAGGAGTTGTTAACCCATTGTTGTAAGACTCCTCCGATTGCCGAGTCGGATGCGTCTACTACGATACTAATGGGTGCTTCGGTGTCCTGATGTGCGAGCATTGTTGCTTTAGCGATCAGTTCCTTAACTGTGGAGAATGCTTTTCGTGCGGTGTCGTCCAAATTAATGGATTTCGCATTTCCACGAAGTTGGTCGGTTAGCGGTTTCATGAGTAATGCGCAATTAGGTATGAAACGTCTATAGAAACTTACCAGGCCGTTAAACGTTCGTAATTGCTTGACGGTGGTCGGTTCTGGGTAATCCAGAATGGCCGCCACTTTGGTTCTAAGGGGTCGGATACCTTGAGCATCGATAGTGTGTCCTAGAAAGTCTAACGAGTCGGTTCCGAATTGGCATTTCTGAACGTTTACAGTAATGCCATGTTTTTGTAATCGTTCGAAAACAAGATCCAGATGCTTGAGATGTGATTCTCTGTCCGGACTTGCGATTAAACAGTCATCAACATACGCATGTACGAAGTTTAGACCTCGAAAAACGTCGTCTATGAATCTTTGGAATGTTTGGGCACCATTTCTTAGACCGAAAGGCATTCGCAAAAATTCATAGAGTCCGAAGGGAGTTATGATAGCCGATTTCGGTATGTCGTCAGTAGCCATAGGGATTTGGTTATACGCTTTAACCAAGTCGATTTTCGAAAAGACAGTTGTACCTTTCAAGGTAGCTGTCAAATCGTGAATGTGAGGCAACGGGTAACGATCGGGAATGGTTTTCGCGTTCAATCGCCGATAGTCGCCAGTTGGACGCCAATCGTTGCTGTCCTTTTTAGGGACCATGTGCAACGGAGATGCATATGGACTATTTGATTGTCATAAATGAAGGATGACACAGGTATTCACTGTTTGACAACGCTTCCACCAGTAACACCTTCTAATATGATTTGTACCTACCGAGAGAAATCAAAAGTCAGAGTCGAGGAAATCGGAAGAGTTTATTGGCGATAACCAAAATATCGGAATTCTCTGATCTAGTCTGGCTAGCGATTGCGGTAGATGTTGAGCACGGCGTTACCACACGTGATCTGGTGCGGATGCCTGACCGAGCGCCTTCAGCTAGATGAGTCCACTAAAACATATGGTCAGCATCCAATGTCGAAAACTTACAGGGCTATTTATTTTGGGGATTTATTTACCGCTACAATCCAAATGGTAATCAAACTCTAGCTCATTTAAGACTCATGCACTGTATTCGACAAGTTTCCCACAAGAAATAAATGCATTATGAAGACACACAACATTTGATATGACATCACCAGGATTTGGTTCTTTTGAAATATTTTTCTCAAATTCATTATGTGTGTGATTGAAGAATGATGGATCATTAGAAAAATCAGCATCTGTATACATTGTATAAGATTTTCGACCACGATTCCGTTCATTCAACATATTTCCCTTAAATTTATAAGAAATTTCATAAGAAATATATGGATCATTAGAAAAAAAACCATATTTGGTGCATTAACATGAGAAATCCGATAAGAAATTGATTGACTAAAAGCTTTTTTCTCACTATGATTTTGACTTTCCTTTGATGCACTTGTATTCCTTGTGTTGCTTCAATTATTTTCTCAATAAGAGTCGCTCCAGCTTTCTCAACAAATATCACATGAAGTATATGTTTATTTTAGCTGAAGTTTAGCTTTAGAGTCATTGTGATAATAAGGAGTGTTTGAATTATAGTACGAACTAAGAATCCCAGAAATAACGCAATTGGATCAAGAAGTCCTAGATAAGCACGAACGAATGTACTGTATTTAGAATTCAAAATTAAGCATTCAACAAGTACAAAGGAATCATTAGTTCATTCAAAAACCACATTAATGCGAGACTAGCAAAGCTTCATTTAATTCTAAACTGTTATTTGACTTAATAATGCTTTTCGAAATCGTGTATAAGAACGAATGCTCATTAGAAACATTCAACTCAATAGGATTGGAATTACGAAATTTGGCACTACTTACAAAGACATGAACAGTATAATTACGATTTGCCTGTATGCGTCCAATTTCACCACATCTAAAGCACTTAGCATTACGAAATACACATGAAATAAATGAGTGAAACTTGCCACAATACAAATATTGACCAAACGTGTGCTCATCTTCGTGATCTGTTTCGCAACTCCTCAATGAATTGTTATCTTCACAACCTTTAGTACGCACCAGATTGGTGTGACGTATTGGTGTAGTGGAATTTTCGATGTCCTGACGAAACATTTTTGGAAATTTTCCTCCTTTACTGCATTCGGAATTTGTACACTTAACATGATCTAGTAGTAGTCCTTTGAGAGTTGTGTGGGAAAGTGAAATCGGTTTATATGGGAATAACAAAGATTTTAACGAGCTGTATGCTTCTTTTCCGAATAATGTAAAGAAATGATACACGATATTAGCATCCTCAGCATCTTTGGTCATAGTCCAAATTTCAAACCTTCCCATATAATGCTCAAGACAATCAAAATTTGAAATCATGTCCAACTATTCCATCACAGGCTCTATCGCGACGTCAATGTGATAATTAGAAGTATATGAATTATTATTAAAACTAGAAATCCCTCAAATAACTCAATTTAAGTCAGGTAGAACCAGGTGAGAACAAACGAATGTATTGTATATAGAATTCAAAATCAGACAGATATCGAGTACAAAAAAATCACTAGTTCGTAAAAACACCACGCTTTCTTCAGGAATACAGTTATACACAAGGTTCAATAATGTTTGTATAATATTAACCATATGCAGACAGTTTATGGAGAATTTAGAAGAACATTGAATTGACTTTAAATAAGAGGAAGAAAAACAGAAAAATAATAAAGGAAAAAGAAACATGTAAATTATTTAATGAACGTGTTTTTGAATACAGAATAAGAATAAACGGTAATGTGTGTTACCAAATGAATAAAAATATCAATAAATAAAAAAATAATATTCCTTATGAGATAGCACTCAAAATATAGTATATTAGGCAGACTCCTCACATCTGATTTCAGCAAGTGACTGGCCGGGAGGACATTCTCTACTTCAACGGTCTTAGTGATTCGTGCAAGATGGAGTTTCGGATGACTTAGCTCTTTGCTATCCTCCCGTTGGGTAATCCTTGCGAAAATTAGTGGCTCAATTTTTAGGATACTGAGCTTTTTGTTTCACTCCCCCAAAGCAAACTTTCGTTTTACTACTGAACACAGAAAATGCCGGGGCCATCTTCAAAGTTCATGATTACAAGTCTGATTTAGTATTCCTATGAGAAAGCATGCTCAATTATTTTATACTACTGAATAAAAAACCATATTATTTTATTAAAAGGTATCAGATTTTCTAGATATTCTGAGTGGATATGAAAGTACTACCTCTCCATCTACAATGTCTGAACCACCAAAATAAAACAGCCGAAAATAGTGAAAAAAAAACATTTTTAATTTTTGCTTATACAAAAATAAAGGGAAGCAGGACCAAGTCAATAAATCGTGAGTGATTAAAATGTATCGTTACATGTTATTAGGGATTTTTAAATGATTGAAGTAACTTGCCATATATTTTTTTAGGTATAGTCAGTTATAAGAAAAAGCTATTGTCTTTTACCCTTATAAAGTTTGCACTCAACAACTATGTAGATTTTGATAGTGTAATAAGAAAACGAAAATTATCAGAAATATGTGATATATTAGCGCACTACATTTCGAACAATCTGATCACGCATATACTTGATAAGTACATTTATATACGAAATTAAAACGTCAACTAAACAAATGGAGGGTAAGAGAAGACATGGAAAGTAAATGTAAAAACAATCACTCTGGATAATAAGCTCAAGTTTGGGATGAGAACAAACTACTTTTGAATACATAATGTGGGTTAGAATTTTCATATGGCTAGGGCTTCAATAAACCTTAGTATACACTCTTTCACACTTTTCTATAATACCACAAAAGCCGTATTAAGGTCAATCTTATGACCTGTTTCAAATATATGTTTGGCAATAGGGGGATGGTGAATGTTTATCCTCTATCGGGTCATTTTATTTAATGTTTCTCAACCATTTAGATGCATGCTCAGACACCTTAATTTTGAGATCACGATTACTCCTCCCTATGTATGTGTGGCCACACACACAGTTGGATTGGTAAACACAGTGGGATGTGACGCAATCATTTTCATGTCTTTTAGGTTTTTGATTAAGCATAGACCTTGTTCGAAACGTATTGCGCTAATATATCACATAGTTCTGATAATCTTCGTCTTCTTATTACACTATCAGAATTAAGTAGATTTTATCATACGCAGTCAAAAATAGAATGTTTCCGATCGAGCAAATGTTTACCAAACAAAATTATTTATTTATTATTGCGGTGATTTGATATGAAATTTGTTTTCAACCAAATACAAATAACAATATCTTTATTACAGGGAATGTATGAGAAATAATAGTAATATATAGTATGAAATAAATTTACAAAGCATATGAATGATTTTTATGTCAATCATACTTTTAAAAAATTAATGTTATTATTTATTTGCAGAGGAACTTTATTAATAATTGGTTATTTGACTCCTTTCCACCCAAATTACACATGTACACAACTACTTATTCTATTAGTCAATCTGATTTACTATTAGTATAACCATATTTTTTCCCATGTAATGTATGTTTCATTTTGTGTAAGGTATATAGAACAATCAATTAAAATAGATCTCATACAACCCCTATTCTTCCTCTCTCTTTCTTTTAGTTCATACTTGCTTACCTGTTTATAACTGAATAATATATATGATTTACATTTTTAGAAAACTTGATCTTTGTTGTGTTTTTTTTATGTTGAATAATCATGACAGATATGACCGGAAAACAGAATGTTGAAAATTTTCTATCTAAATTTCGTGATCCACAAACTCATCGTTTTCATTCAGTTACTGCATTAGACTTTCTTAAATGTTGGCAACATTACGATACAGATGGAAATGGTTATTTAGAAGGTGAAGAATTAAATGGGTTCCTTCGAGAATTCATCACTAGTGTAATACCTGATGAAATTGGCAGTGAAATAATATCGGAAACAGCAATGCAACAATTGATGACAGAAGTTATGGATGCATACGATGAAAATAATGATGGACGTATTGATATTAATGAATTATGTCAAATATTACCTACTGAAGAAACATTTTTAGCTTTATTTCAAATAGATACACCATTATCTTCCAGTGTGGAATTTATGCGTGTATGGAAACAATTCGATACAGATTTAAGTGGTTCAATTGATTCAAATGAATTAAAAAATTTCTTAAAACATTTAATTGTTATTTCAAAAGTTGAAGTAACAGATGAAAAATTAGATGAATATACAGAAACATTAATCAGATTATTTGATCGTAATGGAGATGGTAAGTTACAATTAAGTGAAATGGCTAGATTATTACGAGTAAAAGAGAATTATCTTATTAAACCATTATTTAATAATAATAATTGTTTAGATGATAGAACAATTGATAGAATATTTCGAAAATATGATACTGATAGTAATGGTGTATTAGAAAATGAAGAATTAATGGGATTTTTAAAAGATTTATTAGAAGCTAATGGTGAAGAAGTGAATGAAGAAGGTTTAAAAATTATGAAAGAAGGTATTTTAAAACAATGGGATATTAATAAAGATGGTAAAATTGGTCGACAAGAAATTAATGATTTAATTTTACAAACAGTTCATATATTACAAGAAAAAGAACATTTAAAAAAAGTCAATAATTTATAAATAAACTAGTTAACAATTGTTTTATTGTTTCTCTTCTTTTTACTTTACTTTCTATTCATTAAGATTAATAATAATAATAATAATAATAATAATAATAATAATAATAATCTATCAATACAGTTTTTTGTGACGAGAAAAAAAAAGAACAGAAAAAAAAGAAAATTACGATAAAGTAATTCATCTAACCAAATGATTATCTTTTATTTATTTTGACCATTTTCTTGCAAATGAAATGTAATTCGTAATAAATGAATTTTGTTATTCCTGTTTTCTATATATATCCATTCAATTCACATCAAAGAATTATTCTATGTTGATTAAGTTATATTAAACACTTATTCATTCTGAAATAGTTCATAGAATATTGAATTCATGATATTCAGTAAAATATTTTTTTGATGGAGTTTTGTTCTCTGAGTTAGATGGTTTGATCATGAAACTTTCATTGTTCTTCTGAACGACATTTATCAGTAAAATGATATAACTCATTGATCCAATGATTATAGGCCATAATCTTGATATAAAACATAAATGTGATGAAATTCAAAAACCAAACCATATTGTTAATAATTTATTACTAGACCCATTATGATCCTGTTTCCCAGATTATTTAAACTACTCATATATCTTGAAAATTAACTTATGTAGTAGATCTTTTGGATGTATATTTAATTTGTCAGTGGAATGCTTTGCCAAAAAAAAGAAAACTAAACACAACTAAGAATGTTAGTTAAATAAACTTTTTCTTTTAAATTAAAATAAGTATAAATGAAATCCAAATACTTTCAAATATAAAGACTGGAATTGTATAACTACTAATAAATATTTTAGCTAAAAATAAACTAATTTAGAATATCACCCAGTCTGTATAATAAAGTTACATATATGAGATTTATTTTCATAATGTACAATAACATTAGGATTCAATCATACCATACTTAGTGATTATTTTAAAACAAAACAACAATAATGATATAAACTTTTAATATATATTTACTTTGTATAGAATTATTACAACGATATATTTAACATAGAAAACTTATATATAGTATTGTTGTTGTTAAGTTATTTACATGATAGTCTATACAGAATATACAGTTCTAATCTATATTTATAATAATGATACTGGAAATCAGTTTTGTAAGCAATTATTTAAGATCATGAGTCAGTTGTAGCTAGACCACCATGGAAAACCTGGAAGCAATGGACGGCCATTTCGTCCTATTGTGGGACTCCTCAGCGGTGCGCATCCACGACCTCGCCCCCTGAGAGATTCCAACTCAGGACCTATCAGTCTGACGCGCGAGCGCCTAACCACTAGACCACTGAATTTGCCCGTATTCAACGGTGTCAATGTCTAACTTCAACTAATCCACGAAATTGAGCGACACATCCACCATTTTCTTCAATGAGTTACTATCTCTCAACAGACCTGGTTGAACTCCATTGGTCACTACTTCTCACTAGAACTCTAGGATATACCTCTTGAAGCCAGTCACTAGTGAGTATATGTTGATTAATATCAGAAGGAGTTTTGTGTATATTATAGTAATTTCAATGGCTAAGACCATGAGTCAGTTTAAGCTAAATCAACACCACGGAAAACTTGGAAGCACTGGACGACCGTTTCGTTCTATTGTGAGACTCCTCAGCAGTGCGTACCCATGATCCCGCCTAGCAATATTCGAACTCGGGAACTGTTAGTTTTGCGTGCGGTCTAGCTTCAATTGACTCATGATCTCAACTATTGAAATTATTTATTTATAGGAAAAGTATAGTTTATGCAAAGTAAAATTTATTAGTAAGAAAATAAATATAAACACTATAAGGTCAATGTTAGAATGAGAAAATCACCGTACAAAGAAGGCTTATAAATTGAATCAATAATAGATATAGATAAAGCTTAGTTATTTGAGCAGGAGTCAATCTATTCACTGTGCGCTACTTATGCGGATAGACATAAGGAGTATGTAACAGTAAATGAAAGTAAAATGTTTACCAGCAGAAATATAGAATAAAGAGAAGAGGATGGAAAGCAAAGAGCAATTAAAATAACAATAGGATAGGAAGGATAACGAAGTTAGTAAAGGACAATTAAATAAAGATATACAAATGCTGTATTTCATGAATTATTTTCTTATTTTACAAAGCTTTTATTTAATGTTTCACTGGTTTGTCGTACTTAAATTCTCGTTCTCCACGATACTTTAACAATTCATACTTAGTCTATTACTGCTGTTATTACTGCTACTAAGGAAAATATTAATAATAACCTATGATCATTAGTCTGTGGTTCTTAACAGATTGACAAGCTCAGTTAAGATTAAAACATCATCGAATATATATCCTTAACCGTTAATTTATAGCTTTAAGAATTAATGCTATTTCGTTTCCTACCTAGCCTTACTGAAGTCATTATCGAAAGTGCATAGCACAACAAATTTTAGAGAATGATCAGTATTTTTTCTTCTCATAAATTTCGGTACATTGTATTACATAAATAAACCTACAAATGAAGTAAGTTTATTCGATAAAAACGCAATAGACTATCTATTGCATACAAAATGTGAAAGAATATTTATTCTGTTTTGTTGGTTTATATTATTTAATTATTCATCCAAAGGTTGTTTCTATTTAAAGATTTGTATATGTCAACTTATAGAAGGAATATGGGAAAACGTGACGTTTATTCATGAAACACAAAAATGGATTAGTCTAATGATACAAAAATTTACTTTATATAGAAATAATAATCAAAGTATGATGAAATAGAGTAAAGTAATTCACTGATTTGAATGATAATTAACTGATTTATTGAAAATTAGTTTTTATTAGAATTTGACATCATCTAGAGGATAAGTTTTAGATTAAAGAGAAATGAGATATTGTCTAGAGTTTTTGTGTTGCATGTAATATCATCTAACTAGTCTAGACTTCTGATTGCTCCATGATAATCACGCACAAAGTAATTTGAATAATCTAATATCAAGAACGTTAATCTTAATGATCATCCAATGCCTAATCAAAGTTCATTAGCAACAAAAGTGCAGGAACTAAGCTGTTTTCACCCAAACTATACCGGCATTCATTAACCATGAAGCAGCACTCTACTACATTGACAGGTAGGTTGTATGGTAGTATATATCACTGAAAGATTTGCTAATGGAGCATAACAAATCTTCACACGTTCTCTACTTGAACATTATCGTCTAGTCAAAGCTTATAGAGAAATATAGTCAGGTTTGATAAGATCCACTGATATTCGTTGAGGTTTTACATTCCTTCCGTTCGTTATTTGACTTGTTATAAGCATTCTTTAAAACGTAACGATTTCTCCTTTTAACTATTAAGCATTTTGGACTAGGTGTATTACTTGGTAGCCTTGAATATATAGATGATATATTTCTATGTGGTGAAGTTTCTAGCGAAATTCAGAAGCTTCTAATCTCCTTGATCAACAATAAAAGGATGTTTGAAATGCGTCTCTCTCGTTGTAAGTGCAAAATGCTTCTCTAGGAATATTTTCGTCAGTGTCTAAATCGGTTGCAGAGAGGGAAGTATTGAGATAGGCCGATCACGCTTCGAATTTTGAAAGTCTCATCAGCCCTTGTGAGTTTGCATCTGATGAAATTTTAGCAAGGATTTGGGAAGCTTGATTGGCTTTTACCAACTTACGTCATTTATAGCATAGGTGAGATGTCCATTTGGTAAATGTGATAGAGTTGACGTGAGTATAGATTTCATTAGGAACGCTACTTCCCTGAGATTCTGGATACCAATTGCTGATGGATATCAACTGTTACAACTTAGATCATAGGCTTCCTGCAGACTGCTTCCAACAGTGTGATGGAAAACAATGTGCACTACATCGTTCATTCATCGGAATATGGCTGATCGTACAACCAAAGGAAATATCATTACTCCATGTTCTATGGTCAGTCAGTGTGTGTGTAGCTATATTAAGTCCGTAATTGTTTAAGTTTAGCTAATTTCTAACTCCAACTGAGCATATGAAGACCTTACTATGTGATATAAACTGAATTTATCTGTAGGGCCAGGTAAATTGAACTCTAAGAGAATTTGAAAATAAAGAATACTGTAGAGAACAAAGAAATATTGTTCAACTTTGGATACTTTATAAGACTCTTTATAATACTTTAGCAAATGGTTCAAGATCCTTAATGTTGTTATTGATAGCTAATGAGAATGTATAATGCACTATGAAATATAAAGTAACAATCAGAAATCATAGCAGATTTTATCACGCTGTTTGCTGACGTCAAAATAAATTTTGAAATTCAAAATTATTGGAGGTATTATTCTGAGATACGAAGATACTTTGCAGACGTTAACTAGCGAAAATGTGAGTAAATCTTTACTATATAATTCCAGAGTTAGTACATTTACGTTATCTGGTAAGAGACCTAGCTCCAACTTAGAAAATATACTTCTTTTAAATTTTATACGAAACGACCTTAATCACCTATGGACTACTACAATTATATATATGGAGACGATGATAGAACTTAAGTCAAAGATAATCAATCGAGATCATAATCAACAGAACAAGCTGACAGTTACGTACAGCGTATTTCGAGATGATTACTCTTACCTGAAGTTGTGTTGGTGACGTTTTCTAGAAAGATAATCAAAGCTTTACGATTAAAGCGCACAGTTCAAGAAATAGAACTCCACCAAAAATTTTTTTTAGAAAAACATTAAATGATTATTATCATACAAACAATATTATCTGATTTCATGCTAATAAACGCATTTAATTACCTAATTTCAAAATTCGTTTACATATTGATTATTTTGGAAAAAAACATTAACATTCTTGAATTACTGTCTGCTAATTTTTGATTGAGATCATGAAACGATTGACTTTAGACCACTATTGAAAACCTGGAAGCACTTGACATTCCTTTCGCCCTATTATGGGACTCCTCAACAGTGTGCACCCATGATCCCGACCACGAGATTCGAACCTAGGGCTCTCGGTTTTGCATGCGAAAGCCTAACCTTTAGACCAATGAGCTGATATTCAACGATGTTATTGTCTAACCTCAACCAAACCACAAAATTGCGCAACCAGGTTTTCAATAGTGATCTAACATCTATCAGTTCATGGTCTCAATCAGAAACTTAATAACCTCCACAATCCCATAATAATAATCACAATTGATTGATCACTGGGTGGTGATCAATGTCATGTGTGGAGGTAGTCCTCCAACCACCATCTAATCCCAATATATAGTGCACGCAGTGTCGAGTCACCTAGACTGGTGGCCACATTACAACATGGTCGATAGCATTCGATCTGCATTAAATAAGGACTTGACACACATGACACTGATCACTACCTAGTGATCAATCAATTGTGATTATATCTCAGTCCTACAGGAGGTTGGTCGCGGCCTGGATAGCTCACCGGGTAACGTCTCTGACTTTGAAGCTGGGTGACACGGGATCGAATCCGTCAGGGAGAACCAGTTCCCTCAAGATTACAGATACACATTGCTGACGAGTGCCAAGTAACACGAAACCCGGGTCCAGGGTTTCCTGTCAATTACCTCCAACCACCATCTAATCCCCATAACAATAACAATCTCTGCTTATTGTAATTTATTTGAAATAAATATAAATGATATCTTTATTTATATAAAGAACTGAAAAAAACCGCCAAAATAAATAAATAAATAGATCATACATATATTCATAAGAATTAAAACAAAAAACTAATCTTGAACAATGTACAAAAGGTAAATGAATTAAAATTTAAAGAAAAAGAAAAAGAAGAAAAGAAACAAATAAAAGTTATAATTTATTTGAATATTTATCTAAATGTTTTAAATAAACAAAATTAATTATTCACAAAGCATATATTTTTTAAATTCTTCATATTCAATCGTTCCATTATTATCACGATCACAATATTTAAATGCTTTTTCTACATCTTTACGACTAATTACTCCAATATATTTATTCATATATTCTTTAAATTCATTTTTATCAATTTTCCCATTATGATTCATGTCAACTTGAGTGAATATAAACCACCAAAATTGATCACTATAATAATAATAATAATAATAATAATAATAATAATAATAAGAAATGAAATAGAAATTTCGAGATTAGTTTTAATGATCTTTAATTAATAGTAGATTTCTTTCATATTAGTTACTAAAATGATCTAGGTTCATAAGAAAATGTGTAGTGAATTAGAACACAGATGAGGACAACCGAATGACGTATAGCACAAATTTACAGAGGTACTTGGTAAAATAGAAAAAAAAAACTATACTGAGATACTAAATTTGCAAAATGTTCATTAATTGTCTCAAACTTCTATGTTCCTGCATTAACATACCAATTACTTTCTATTCCTGTTCCTTCCTTCTTGATCTCCTCAATCTTCTTCTGATAGACATTAGATTCCTGACTCGCTTTATATACTACTTATGTCAATATAGGTAGCAAACAATACAGGTGTACCTATTTGAATAGAGATATAATATCATACAATTATCATTCTTATGACAAGCTGGATATTTTCTGTTTTAAACTTAAATGTAATGTTTTACTGTAGTGAATTTTGCCACTACAATTTGTAAAGTAGTCAACTGTTAGAGAGAATCTCAGTTTAAGTGAATGTTAAATAAAACCAACTGACTATAATTAAGTGGTATCATGAATTTAATTTTTTTAACAGGGATTAAAAGAAAGTATCATTATGACAGTATTTTATAGGGTGGTTTTCACTTAAATGTCTATCTATTGAAACATAGTGGTTTTTCTGTTAGGTTCCGATAATTATAATGAATGGTAACTTTTGGGATCCATTTATGGACCAATAATATGCGTATATTTTTATCGTATAGTTGTTAAATAACTAAACCGTTCATATTCATGCCCCTCTTATTATGAGCTTTATTTTGATCTATGAACTATTATTATACCATTGACCATTCTTGAATTATGCTCAGTCTATCAATTAGTACCTCCCTCATTCACAGCCAAATTTGGCTAATTCTTGTACAAATGTTGTTTCATATTTTATTGGTACGTTGTGGTCTGTTTGATTGGTATATAAACCCAGTATTCTTGAAATAAATGATTCATATCACAGAGGCTGAGATTGGTGTTCTGGACTCAACTGGCTGGGCTAGACAGGAAGCAGGACCAATAAGGACTCTAGAGTGTTCGTACGAGTTTATTGAGTCATTGGTCCGATCGATAATTCATTGCTCTCTGATTGGCGGTATCGTTACGTTATCCATTAACAGGGCACACAGGTCACAAGTTATGACATTTTCTCGGAAACTATAAATTTTATTTTTACACTTTAATGATAATCTTGAATAAGTATACAGTTGAGTAATAGAATAGTAGGATAAACGATTAAACCCATATATTCTTTTATCATTCCATTCTAGGTGATTGTCTAAACGTATAGTGAAAGTTCAGAAACCAAGTAATAAGTAGTCAAAGAACCTTGATCTTCTGATAAAACTTCAATGACAAAATGTTACCTCTCATTTTATAAGTTTCCTTGTTTAGAATAAATTGGTGGTGATACCTATTTTTATTTTTATTTATTTAACAACTAAGAATCATTAAGATACAATGTTAAAAGGAATTCTTGATCAACTTGTCACTTACGGTTTATTGTGAGTAATACTGATTTACTACATAATCATAGTATATGATTTCAATTACTTTTTTAGTTTTTTTAAATGAGAATCACTTATGTTTAATGCAAAAGTCTTCTTACATGCAGTTAACACTCAACTCAACTAGATGTTATAATGTTTAGTTGAACTGTGAAAAAAGTGTTCCATTACTGTTATATAGTTGTATTTGCATATAAGTAATTAAAATACCTATGAATTTAAAATAAACTAATGTATTAGCCTGAATCAGTTAACATGAAAGATAGAGATGTTAACATTCAACTATTTCTGCTAAGAATATGAAATCTTAAATAATACGTTTTAAGAATTAAATTTTCCAGCTGAAGAAGAAATCAGGAAAAGACGATGGAAATGGATAGGACATACATTACGCAAATCGTCAAACTGCATCACGAGGCAAGCCCTAACTTGGAATCCTGAAGAGAAGCGTAAAAGAGGAAGGCCTAAGAACACATTACGTCTGGAAATAGAAGCAGATATAAAAAGGATCAATAGAAACTGGAAAGGATTTCCCAGGACAGGGTTGGATGGCGAATGCTGGTGAGCGGCCCTATGTTCCTTCACGAGGAATAACAGGAGTAAATTGGGAAATCGGAAAAATTAAATTAATACAATAAGGTTGAAACAATGTTACGGTGATACATCCAGCGTGACCACTGTTCATGGAATTCGAATACATTTTAATGGTATTTATGTTAATGATATTTACTCATTCACGTTAATTCATATCGAAAAGGTTTTTGTAGATATGACAGTAATTTCACTGGTTGACATCATAAATCAGTTGAAGCTAAACCACCATGGAAAACCTGAAAGCACTGAACGGTCGTTTCGTCCTATTGCGAGACTCCTTATCAGTGCTCATCCACGACCCAGTGCTTCTAGGATTTTCATGGTGATCTAGCTTCAATCGACTCATGATCTCAACCATTGAAATTTTTATTTGTATTATTTTGTGATTTATTTTAGACATTGATAGTAATATTTTACTTACCTATTAAGTTTTCGATTATAATCAACATGGAAAGCTTCCATTTGTATGATAACTTTTGTAAATGTTGTTCAACTTTCAATGATTAACTCTTGAAACTTGGGACTTAAAAGTCTATTTGAAGATGTAAATCACCTATACGAATGTAATATCGTTTCAAAAACTTTACATTTCCGTTAGTAACATTATTCTAATTATATACAGAATTCATTAGTAGTTTATTGATTTTCTTATTAATTAACTAACTTTAGAACGGTGTTACTAAAAATAGTTTCTATTTCAAATATACAATTGAAAAACCAATAAGAGTAATTTGTTTTCCTTCCAAGTAAAAATGATAAATCATTAGATATTTTTAATTAACCATCACGTTACTTGTGTAAGTGAACGTGCATATATTACAAATTTTGTTTACAAATGACTGGTTATTCATCATGTTATTAGGTAAATAAAATCTTACAATTTCATAATTGAATTCATGAGTTGATTGAAGCTAAACCACCATGGAAAACCTTAAAGCACTAGATGGCCATTTTATCGTAGTATGGAACTTTTCAGCAGTACACATCCACGATCCCGCCTCGCGAGATTCGAACCTAGAACTTATCAGTCTCGCACGCATTACAATTTCATTGAGAAATTATTATCTGTAATATTTTTAAATATTTCAACAAAGTTCCTTTCAGATGAACCCATTGCATAGTTCCAGTGTAACTTGTTTTTTTTAATTTATTTTTGTAATCATATTTGTTAAGCAAATATGGATGGTAGCTGTCAGCTGAATCCAAGACATGCGTTTCGTCCCATTTAGGTTTCGTCAACTGGATGTGTCTACATCCTAGATTTGATGTTTACTCCGAGGCACGAACCTAGTTTTATTTGCTTCAAACTCCATCGTATTATCCACTTAGCTACTGAGTACTGATAATCACTGGCTTGTGCAGTCACGTGAAGTTGTTTGTTTGAATCTTCCCATCAATGTTTGGTACTGCAATGGGAAGATTCAAACAAACAATAAAAAAATAAATCATATTTATTTAATTATAATGAATTTACTTTAAACCTGATAAACGTCAAATTTAAATAACGTTCAGAGATTATCTTATACTTGTATCTACTAAATTTCTTCAGAAATGATTTATATCACTTCAGTGTTGGATCAAGCCCAATGTTTTGATATTTTTTATTTCATTAGAGCTAAAGATATAAATATGGTCAAATAAAACTGGTATGACTTGATTTTCTGTCGCTAAGTCTTCGGTCAATTGGTGATAGATAATATACAATCAAACAGCTACATATCACGACTGAATTTGACATTACTACTTCAGTGCGTCGAATTGAAATTATTAAGATAAATACCGTAGTAACAGTACAAATAATATTGGTGACGGTAAAAATAGATTAAATAGAAAATTTGATCCCAGAATTAAATATAAATTGAAGGATAAAATGTATAAAATAATTTTGAAATTCGGGATCAACAGGTAAATGAAGATTGGTCACGATAATTTCGTGGACGTCCTCAACAAACAATAGTCAAAGCTATCAACTTCACTAACTTATACTAGGTCTACACAGTGTACTTTATATGTTTTCTGAATGTATTTGTTATGTACTTACGATAGTTAATCAATAATTTAAGGTTATGACTAGCTTAATTTAAAATTTTAAACCATTTTTCCACAAGTTTTTACCTTGACATATGTCACCCACTATGATCAAGCAGGTTTTTCTGCTTTTATCACCCCGAGATAGATGTTGGAGAACACTGGTTACCATGGTACATCTTTGTTACTTTAAAGGGACACTTGGAATCAAGTCTGTCATTTTTGGATTTCTAATGATTTTACCATCTGAAGCCTAGGATACAGAATGAATACATGTGTTTCATGTTTCCCATCATCATTATTCAACTTTCTTCATTAGCTTGGTTTCATAATCATCAAACTTTTAAACTGCCAGATGCTTATATGATGAAATAAAATTATTAAAGAGTGGATCCTATCGAAATCTAGATGACTGATGAATTAAGTCACTGGAAAAATAAAAGACTATTGTTTAGAAGTTAGAGAGAAAAGAGTTTCCTAAACAATTCCAAGCTTACTTCACATTAGATAACTCGCTAAAGCAGTCAATTATCCCAGTAAGTTTAAGTCCCAAAAGCACTGCTGCAGAATATTTGACAGTATCACCTGAACGAACTGTTATCTTTTTCCTCAAAGTTTATTCGGTATGGAAATCATCAGTCTTGAAACTATTAACTTATTCTTAAGCACAACTATAATAATCACTGAACTTTGTCGAGCTGGATGTCATCCTCATGATATATGTTTGAGCTCTATTCATTCAGTGGTTCGAATATACCTATTGTTTGCGGTACAATGAAATTGTGAAATTGGTAAAAATGTGAAATATCTTGAATATTTTAAAATTATAAATATATGGAAGTTGTTTGGCAGAAACTATCTGTAAGGTCTATAAAAATAAAATACACTAACTATTACGAATGAATTTCAATATAGGGTTCAAACTAAGTTTTTTAATGCAAACGTGACAGCTACTATGTTTTCTACCCCTAATAGAATCAAGATTCTACCTCAACGAACAATTAGAGAAATTGTCCAAGTTTTTAATCACTTCTAGTTATTTCGAATCTAATAGTTTATAAAACTAAGTTTCATTTCCAAATCGATTTACCACGCCTTTGTATGCATGTTGCATTATCCAAAATCAATTTAAGAAACCCATATTTTTGAAATAAAACTTCCATTGTATTGACTATTGAAAGTATCCTGGTTGATTTTTTACTGTGATTGAATAATATCACACATTAATTCAAAAAAAAAAAACTTGTAACCTACTAATTTAGTGGGTAAACAAAATGACTAAAAGAGTAAATAACTGAAACTTACAACCGTTCAGTTTGTAGGTGTCGAATGGAATAAGATATTCATTATAAATTTTATCAACAATTATTACCGAATATCATAAATGTTTATTGGCATTGCCTTAGTGACTCAGTATGTAATTATTATCATAAACTAAAATGAACTAAAAGAGAAACAGTGAATAGTCAACAAGAGTATTTTCCCGTTCTAAAAAAAACGTCACAGTGTTTACTCTTAGATTCATAAGAAGTTGAACCATGAACCGTGGAATTTAAGAAACCGTAATTTAAGTTTGACTCACTGAGCTAAAATGCAGTGGTTTATGTTTTTGAAATTACGTCGATTCGCTACATGCGACTACTGTTATCCGGTTGGTGTCATTTCACAGATCGGATAGTATCTTAATTTGACTTCCGAGAAACTCAAAAGCCCTACATTTCTATCCTTAAAGTGTTCCAAAAACATTGATTTAAAATATTCGTATTTCTCTTTACTTCAAGGCTTTTTACTTAGATTGTGTGATTTACTAAGTGACAAACGTCATCTATTTTCTTGTAATTTTTAGAAGATTGCATGTGAGCAGATGAAAACAAATGTACCCCATTAAATATCATTAGATTGTACTCGATCTTTCTATACTTTAGGTGTTTATGGATGTCATATTTTGTGATTTTTGCTTTATTAAAATATCACTTACCGTCATTACTCTAGCTACAACAAATTCCCTTGAGGCTATCTTCAGATTCCCTCATCTCCTACTTAAAGTCTAAATTTTCTCTGGTAATAAACAAAACAAGCATTCAACAAAATGACTGGACAAATCGTAGCCCAGTTCAATTCATTGTAGAATATATTTAATCAACACGAGCATTTGTTCACTTCGGTGTAAGACTGTTCGGCAAAGACAGTCTTGGTTCTTCATATATTTAGTAAAGGAAACGGTTCTTGATTAGATTAAAATCAAATATCAACATCAGTGTTTGTTTTGTATATCCTTAACACTTCTAAATATCTTAATAATAGCGTTGTCACTATAGGAAATTAAAAAGATTGTAGATTTTTAGTTTTATTCGCAAACAGATCTTAGCTAGACAATCACTAAATAACCCAGGATTCACCGAACAGGTATTTCTTCTTGGTATGGAATTTGTAACAAGCCTCCTACAATTAATTTTGTTTATGTTTAATTTAATCAAGCCCTTTAACTAATTATTTAACAGCCGGTGCTGTATTATTTGTATTGCTATCATGTCTGTATGCTCATGTGTGCATGATCACATGTTACAGCCTACGCATATAACTATCTTTTTCCATAGCTTAAATGTAAGCCGCTTAAGTATCGCTAAATGAATCATTCGCTTTCCCATATAACAAACTGTATTCAGCGCTTCCTATTGCCATTTGAATTTATACACCGTTGAGATTTACACAATAACGGTTATCAGGGTGATCGCTATAAATGAAGCCTAAGGAATGATCCCAAATCCAAGGCACTACAAACGTTTTAGCAGTAAACAGGTTAAACGTTTACAACATTAGACCCCAGCTTAGTGCTTTAAAGCTTAAAGGTCTGCACATGAAAATAAAAACCCACAGTTCGACTACCTCTGTGGTTTCAGATGCTCAGTGATAAAGAGTTGCATACTAGGAAGAAACACCTACACAGTGCTATCAGATTTTCAGTGGTAGTCTGCCTAACATCAGTTCATGATATAAATGATGAAAAGTAATAGCATCACTGAATGTCATGAAGTTTGTCCCAGTGTTGTATACTCAGCACTAACCATGCAATGTTCCAACAAATCTCTAATTAATAGAAATTCAAAGTGCAGTTACTAAAGAATATATTTTCAGTACTCCATTTCTGCCTCGTGACCGTTATTTGCGAAAATTTTTGTTTAATATCTACCACTATTTGTTTTTCATTTGTTATATATCGGATCAATGAATTTCTGTATAATCTTATCTCTTCTTTTCACGTATGAAACAAGGAGGGAAGGATACCAATCAGTCCTGTGTTTAGGTTTGGTTTTTCAATTTCGAGAATCACAACAAGTAAGTAAACTTTACACAAAACGACATGAACTAATACGGTTAGCGTTTACAGTAATTCATTGTTTAAACAGAAATGTTTACTGATATTCTTTTATGTAGTTAAAAAGCGAGAAGGTCAAATGTCTTAATGAATCATTATTAGCTCCTTGATTTCACTTTTTCTCTGCCACATTAAAAAATTAATTGTGAATAGTGTTGGAGCTAAGCATGTTGTAAAATTATCTAAATATGTTGTTGTGTATAAT